TCATTCTGTCATTTTCGCATCCGTCGTCGGACTTCAGCAATTCTCATTTCGGCTTCCCTCTTTCTGGTAAGCCACTGTTCCTCTTGATTTTATTTCTTGTTGCTTTCCAAAAAGCTCTACTTCATTGTTAATCACCATTGTTGTTTTACCCGTTGTTTCCAAATCATCTTCTTGAATACACACTATTCACGCATCTGTTGATTTCTGCCACTGTTCTTGGCTTGACACACATGTGCAATCTTTTTGTCTTGATTTCCTGATAATTTCATCACTATTCTTGATTACGAATTACATTCTTGTTTCTGTTTTCTGTGTCTTTTTCCAGATTCTTACTTTCAATCCTTGCCTTAAAACTCCAAGGTGCCAATCGCCGAAAAGAGCTTTGATCAAACTCTTTGGGAGATCGATGCTGAGCTCGAGGCCAAGAAGGCTGCTGAGAAGTCTTCCCAACTGTCTTCTATATTCTGCCATTGATGCTGAGTAGTTTTGTTTCCTTCTTTTACTCCTTGTACCTTGTACCTTGTACTTTGTCCTTCTCTGTATGCTTTTAATCCGGCCGACGTGCCATTTTTGTAGTCTGAATAATTTATTTTTCAATATTCAGGCCAAAGTGCCTTCTTTCTTCTTTAAATGCATTTATCTAATTTCTTCTTTGAATGAATGTATTCTTTTTTCTGCTCTTGTATGATTCTACACTTAGAATAATTTGCATGTCTTTAAAGTACACCTTGACTGTGTAATCTCTTCGAGTAAATACCTCTGTCACAACTTCTAATCTTGCTCATCTCAGCCTTGTCCTAACACTTGAAAATATTGTAACAAATATTTTCACAAGTGTTGCTTAGGACTTGTCACTTTCTCAATGTCTTCTATCAAGACTTCAGTTTTCCATATTTCAAGTTTTGACAACCTGGTAGTTTCGGCAAGTACGCAGATATTGCTTGGGCTTGACTTTAACTTGTAAATTTTTCTCAAAAATTTCAACAAATGTTTTAACCATCATCCTTTATCATAACCTCGGCTTAACTTCAGCTTGTAAATTTTTCTCAAAATTTCAACAAGTGTTAAACCATCTTCCTTTCACATAACATCGGCTTAACTTCAACTTATAAATTTTTTTCAAAATTTCAACAAGTGTTAAACTATCTTCCTTGTAAATTTTAACTCCCAAGCATTATTCTCTAACCCTCTGCCCCCTAATGTGAACCTAAGTTCCACTTGGGTTCTCATTAGGCATGTATCATCTCGGTTTAACTTCAACTTGTAAATTCACACAGAATTTCAACAAGTCTTAAATATCATCTCGGTTTAACTTCAACTTGTAAATTCACACAGAATTTCAACAAGTGTTAAACATCATCTCGGTTTAACTTCAACTTGTAAATTCACACAGAATTTCAACAAGTGTTAAACATCTTCTCGGTTTAACTTCAACTTGTAAATTCACACAGAATTGCAACAAGTGTTAAATATGACCTCGGTTTAACTTCAACTTGTAAATTCATACAAAATTTTAACAAGTGTTAAATATCATCTCAGTTTAACTAACTTGTAAATTTCTACAAATTTCAACAAGTGGTAAACATCATATCAGTTTAACCAACTTGTAAATTGCTACAAATTTCAACAAGTGTTAAATATCATCTCGATTTAACCAACTTGTAAATTGCTATAAATTTCAACAAGTGGTAAACATCATATCGGTTTAACCACCTTGTAAATTGCTACAAATTTCAACAAGTGTTAAATATCTTCTCGGTTTAACCAACTTGTAAATTGTTACAAATTTCAACAAGTGGTAAACATCATATCGGTTTGACCAACTTGTAAATTGCTACAAATTTCAACAAGTGTTCTTTCTTTCATTGGCTATTTATTCTTCTTTCTTTCATTGGCCATCTATTCTTCTTTCTTTCATTGGCCATTTATTCTTCTTTCTTTCATTGGCCATCTATTCTTCTTTCTTTCATTGGCCATTTATTCTTCTTTCTTTCATTGGCCATCTATTCTTCTTTCTTTCATTGGCCATTTATTCTTCTTTCTTTCATTGGCCATCTATTCTTCTTTCTTTCATTGGCCATTTATTCTTCTTTCTTTCATTGGCCATCTATTCTTCTTTCTTTCATTGGCCATTTATTCTTCTTTCTTTCATTGGCCATCTATTCTTCTTTCTTTCATTGGCCATTTATTCTTCTTTCTTTCATTGGCCATCTATTCTTCTTTCTTTCATTGGCCATTTATTCTTCTTTCTTTCATTGGCCATCTATTCTTCTTTCTTTCATTGGCCATTTATTCTTCTTTCTTTCATTGGCCATCTATTCTTCTTTCTTTCATTGGCCATTTATTCTTCTTTCTTTCATTGGCCATCTATTCTTCTTTCTTTCATTGGCCATTTATTCTTCTTTCTTTCATTGGCCATCTATTCTTCTTTCTTTCATTGGCCATTTATTCTTCTTTCTTTCATTGGCCATCTATTCTTCTTTCTTTCATTGGCCATTTATTCTTCTTTCTTTCATTGGCCATCTATTCTTCTTTCTTTCATTGGCCATTTATTCTTCTTTCTTTCATTGGCCATCTATTCTTCTTTCTTTCATTGGCCATTTATTCTTCTTTCTTTCATTGGCCATCTATTCTTCTTTCTTTCATTGGCCATTTATTCTTCTTTCTTTCATTGGCCATCTATTCTTCTTTCTTTCCCACAGACGGCGCCAAATTGTGTGGGTGATTTTCCGACCACACTGCCCGCTTAGTAACCAGCTGGAGAGCACCGGCAGAATAGATAGCACCTGGCTGACCTGCAACAGAAAGAGAAGATTCCGACGGTGGTTCGTCCACCCGGGAGCACTCCGACGATCAAGTCAGTACATCTCTCAAAGATAAATCAAGTCCTAAACTCACAAGCTTGAGTATCAAAAGCATACCTTAGACCCATGGGGGTGCCTCTCTTTTATAGCTAATACAATCCTAGTCCCAATAGAAGCCTAACTTCTATGGACTCAGGATTACTGCTAATCTTGGACTCCCAGTAAGATTAGGATAAACTCTCTAAGAGTCTTACCTTAATACAAACTGAAGTCTTTTCTCATTCTAGGATTCTTGCCCCTTATCTGCTTATTTCGGATTCCGATATCTTCGGAGGTAACCTTGGCCTATTCGAGATGACCTCGGCATAACACACAGAACACATGGCACCTCGGTTGACACGTCGGCGTCACCTTGGCCACGTGTTGGTGCTCAGAAAATATATCCTCACAATTGGGTTTATGACATTTTCCACCGAGATGTAGGCTGTAGTGGCTACAATGAGGTACTCCTAATAGTACTTGGTGTGAGAATAAAGGAGTATCTTATTGTAAATTTGCCTCCCCTGTTGGTAATTTTGTTGTTGGCCTTGTTTCTAAGTAAGACTTTATGTATTTTTGTAATGTTGTGAAATGACAGATATGTGTTAGAATAAAATATTTGGAAATCTCTCTTCACTTTTATATAAATTATTAGTGGTTAGGCATGTGTGTTGTATGTAACACGTGATTTTTTTTTATCAACTTTTAGTACTGCAATTATCTGTGTCTCGTAAATTGGTATGTGATATGTATATGAAGTATAGAGACTTGTATGGATAAATTGATCTATACCTAAAATATAATTAAGAAATGAATGCATACTCGGTTGAAGAATTTAAATAATAAATGATAAATTTTATAAATATAAACATTAATTTATAGCTAGATTGTTGAGATCACAATCTTATCTTAAACATTAAACAATAAACAATAAACAAGTCCTTTAAATATATAGTGTTATACAAATTTTTTTCATCAACTTCCTATTTTAGCCATAATCATTTAGCCAAATAAACAATAAACAATAGGCTATTTTAGCCAAATAGGTCAAAATGTCACATCCAACTCATAATTATTTCATTTTTTTTCTCATGAAAGTAAAAAACGTCAAAAAGCCTATCTCAAATGAGGTTTTTTAGCCCCAGGCTAAAATAGTCAAAAGGCCAACTCATATCCCAAACGAGCTAGCTCTCCATCTGTTTCTGTTTCTCTCTAACATTCACACAAGCACAAACCCTAGGCCAACATTTAAAACCACCACCACCCTGTTTGTTTCCCCACCGTGAGGTCGGCGGCAAACTGACCAAGGCAGAGAGCAAACACGAAGAAGGTGGCTAACACAAAACGAAAACAGGAGCAACATTGGAGCAATAGTGGGGTTCAGTGGAGAGATGAAGGAAGTTCAGCAGCAGTGCGTGGAGCCACCTACACTCTACTGTGGCTAATCCTCTCAATTTTAGACCTCTTGCATCAGGTAAACTCTCTATCTCTCTCTCTCTCTCTCGATACTTGTAAAAATTACTTTGGGTTGTTATTAGCATGACCCTTTGAAAATTCATGGTTTTGATGCACAATTTAAAATGGGGTTTGATCTACAGAAGGAATCAAACCAAAGGAAGCTAGCTCATGGGGCTATAAGAGCACAAACAGCAGCTACCACGACTCTGACAGTCAACCAGGCTGCACCTAAAGGGAAGAAAACCCTTAGAAAGGGCAGTGTTGTGATCACAGGAGCCTCCTTCGGATTAGGCTTAGCCACAACCAAGTGTCACGTCCCGCCAAATTACCAAGCCAGAATTACCTATCACAAGGAAGTCTCAAGGAAGAGAGGCTAAGGGAATATTCTGTAAGCTCCTGGAAGACTTAAGAAAATATGAAGACCATGCAGGATGCTGGAAGCTTCTAGAACTCCCTAGAGTATTATAGACAATTGTACATAGGATTAGAAGCTTGTACATACTTCTAGAATAGGTTCTTTGAGAGGATGAGGGAAGGGTCTAGAATCCCCTCCATCTATGTAGATCTAGAATAGTCTATTAGATGTAGGAGGAGAAAGTGTCTAGAACACTCTCCATCATAGTAGGTTCAGAACATTCTTTGTAAGCCTATAAAAGGGGGAGGGCCTCATTTGCCCCAAACCACCCAAGTAGACCCAAGTAACCAAGAGTTGTAAGCTTTCTCAAAGTATATACAAGGCATTCTCTCAAACTCTCGTGTTCTTCTAACTTCTCTTTTCTACAGGAGTGTGAGTTAGGCTGACTTAGCATTATCAAGTGAGACTTGAGATTGTCTAAGTGCCGCACGGATAGCTTGGAAACAACCAAGTCCGTGACACAAGGCTCTAGCTGAAACAGACATATGGCATGTAATCATGGGCTGCAGGGACTTCCTAAAGGTTGAAAGAGCTGCCAAAGTGGTTGGCATTGCCAAAGAGAACTACACAGTCATGTTTTTAGACCGTGCCTCACTTGACAGTGTCAGCCAATTTGTTAACAACTTCAAGCGATCAGGTCGGCCACTTGATGTCCTTGTTTGCAATGCTGCTGTTTATTTGCCAACTGCTAAGGAGCCAACTTTTACTGCTGAAGGGTTTGAACTCAGTGTTGGGACTAACCATCTTGGACACTTCCTCCTTTTGCGGTTGATGCTCGATGACTTGAAGCAGTTATCCATCGAAGCGTCTCATCATTGTTGGCTCAATTACAAGTACGTAACACATGTCACAGTCTTATTTTGGCACAAATTCATTCTTTTTATTTTTACACATGATACTTGTCATTATTCTGCTCAAAGACCAGTTAAGGAACCTGTGAATACTTTGAGCTTGTTTGGAATGCAGCTAAAAAAAAAAAAAAAATTTGGCTAAAGAAATAAAAAACCAAAAAATTAGAAAACCTATTTGTCATCAGCTGAGAAGGAAAAAAAATGTAATTATTTCACTCGCAAAAGAGTACTTTTTTAGCAATTTTTCATACGCATTAGCTTTTTTAGCTTTTAAAAAAGGCCAAAAAGCTAAATTCTCATGTTTTGGCAGGTCATCCCTACAGCTTCTGTTTTTGGTTCATCATGGCCCAATTGACAACAAATATTTGCCCACACAAAGTTCTCATTTTATTGGCAACTAATACTTGACAAAATACGTATACATAGAAATATGTATACATGTGTATGTATATAATGTTCTTGGAGAACCTAAAAAAATAAAATAAATAATAATAATAATAAATAAAAAGAACTAAGCATTTATTCTGGTTCTACGATTATCATTTTGTCTAATTTTTAATGATTTTATGATTATCATTAGATTTTGACGAATTGTTGTCACATTTATCATTCTTTGTTCAATTTACATAATTACTAAGCTATTGTGGTGGTTTGCATTCTTCACTCACAGGCTAATATGATCTATTGATTATATGATCTGTCTACCTGCTCATGGAGCTGTTATTGCAGAACCTAATAGCCCACTATTTAGGTATGTTGGTGCACGTTGGCTAAGCTAAGCTGCCACACCGTCATATTGTATGACTAGATTACCAAAAACATATTTGCTATTGTAGTTTATATCTCTGTTTTAAGTGGCTCACTTTAATTGTACTATTCCAAGATTCATGTGAGTTGTGTACTATTCCAAGATTCATGTGAGTTGTTCCCATATGGAATCTTGTATTTAAAATTTATTAAGCAAGAATAATTTAAATAGATTTAAAAAATTAATTATTTAAAAATTAAGAGAATAGTGCTTTTGATTTTTCTTTTTAATTATCAAATTTGAACTTGCAAAAAACAAAAAGAAAAAAAAAATACACTAAACAAGCCCTTTAAGCAATTGATTCATACATTCAAGCGACATTGCAGCTTAATTGATGTGAGATTAGACAAGCAAAGCAACAAATCCCGAAGGCTTCATTTGGCATGAGCATAGAAGTCAACCAAAAAAACAAAAAAACAAACACCCATGTTGCTTAAAAACTTTAAATTAATTTGGTAACCTCATTTCCTGCCAAAGAGAAAAATCTACATCCCTTCCCAATGATGTTGAGAGTGAGCAATTCCGGTGAAGAAGATAATGTGAATTTCTTCAATCGGTAACTACATAATTTTCTTCAGAATGTTTTTGAAAAAAAGAGTCAAGAAAAATATCAAATCTCACCTTTGCTGAATTTTGAGAATATTAGTACACTTTGTTTTTTGTTTTTTGTTTTTTGGATGTGTACGAATCAATTGCTTTGTGTAAATAGTCACCACATTTCCCTATACGACTTGCCAATTACTAAACAAACAGGTTCTCTCTTACATATCCAAATGTGCCAAAAACTTGTATGCCATTCTATGAGCATTTTACCATAAGAGAATTCTACTACGGAAAATTGGTATAGAAACATCATTAAGGACCTATAAACACCGCCACTTCCAACTTAATTGTGAAAAAAAACAAACAAAAACTATGCACTGTCAGATTCATTTCCAGAATCTATGTTCATCGGCTGAGGGTTCTTGTACCCACTGATTTCATCCTTGTAGCGTTTTTTGTCAGCCTGGGCCTTCGCTTCATATGGTTCTTTCTCCGCAGCTGCAAAAAACCATTTTCGGTAAAATTCATAAAGCAGTTATCATTATGAATGTGCGGTGACATTGTGTCAAAAAGGCAAACCTGTCATCTTTTTCCATTTATCTCCAAGAACTCTTCCCACATCAGTGAATGCAATTCCAGGGTTAATTTTCTTAATATTCTGCAATCAAAATAACAGCATGAGCAACCAATCCAACACTGCATTGTTAGAATCGTCGGACAACACCGGATATAAGATCTTTTATTGGTGGTGTTCTCAAGAAAGAGTTTTGGTTTACAGTATACATGAAAGCAGATCCTTCTGGCACGAGGAAAAAAAACTGGAATCACTCAATTTGGGATCCACTGTGGTGTACTTTCTCTCACAGCTTGAAATGAATACCGTTCCAATAGGAGGAACAAAAACAGGAACATGGTAGCTACACGTTTTAAAATGTGGTACTAAATATGAAAACAATTATATTTTAATAGTAAGACATCCAAAAAAATATAATTATAAATTAACCACGTAAAAACACAACTCTAGAAACATTATGACCCCCATTTGTTTTACATTTGGTCCTGCAAAAACTGCGTTTTCTCTAGATTTCAGTTCATCATATTTGATTTTTTTTCCTCCTTTAGGAAACATTTAAGAAAATATGTAAGAAAAATTTTGGGATTGCTAAATTTTCCTTGTTGAAATGAAAGTGTACCATGTTTTCGAAAATGCATCCAAAACGTAAACTCACACTATGTATTAGCATTTGAGTTAACACAATGTGAAACCCACCTTTACGAGTCCTACATGTTTATATGAGAGAGAGCAGTACAAAACAGTGTGGACGCCGTGCCTTCTTGGGTATAAGGCGTGTTTCCACACTATGTCGTACCAACTTGCTTTCAGAGTCGCCACTTAATTTTTAAGGGAAACCAACAAATCTTTAACAATGAAAACTAAACAAATGACCTGTCCGTCACAACCAAACAATCAAGGTTCGGGAACTTAGGTACGAGAGGGAAAGGTCATTAATTGATGCACCCCTCTTGCCTAATCAAGTGATTGATCTCTACTCATCTTTTATTTTTGAGATTTAATGATTAATTATTCCACAAAATTCAGTATTAGCCCTAACTCCTTTACGAAACCTAAAACTAGATGTTTTGAATAAATAAACTTTACTTAATTTGCATTAAATAAATATAGCCATATATTTTCCAACAAAAAGAGAGTTTTTAACACTCATGGCTACAAACACAACCCAAACTAAGCAATATTCATGAAAAAGCATTCAAAACATTCAACTGATCATGAAAAGCACATAGACTTGATTTATTGCAAAAACAACGCAACAAACAAGTAACATGCTATGAAAGAATGAGTAACTTACCTGGATTCCACCACAAAGCGTCCAACCATGCCAAATATGATTAAACAAAATACAAAAACCTACACACGCAACTAAACACACAATGCAAACCTAAACATGATGAATATACAATGATGAAACCACGCTATATGTACAATAATATCAAGATTAAACTAACCTAAATATGCAACAAACATGCGTCTGACTAGAACATGCAAAACAAAGCAAAAACATGCAAATCTAACAACCAACATGATGATTCATGATTACTAACACCCTAACCAACCATTATCAAACAGTGAAAACATGCTTAAATCATATTTAAAAAATAAAGAAATCAGATCACTTGCTTGCTGGTTTGAATATCAAACCAAAGAGCAACAGACAAGGCGAGAAAATAAGAGATTTCCTTGCTTGCAAGCTTCCCTCAGGCCTGCCTTTGATTTGATTCACTTTCTTCAAACCCTAGATCTACTTTTAGTTGTGGAGCTATTGTATTAAAGTTGTATTTCGGATTTGAGGGTTGGGGTAGAGAGAAAGGACTCCAAAGTCACTTAAAACACTTCAATTTTGCTTAAAAGCTCCGTCCCTCAAAGAGGAGGAAGAGGAAGAGAGGGGTCCTATTTATAGGCAAGGAGGAGCCTTGGCGATTATTCTAGGGTTAGCTAGGGTTGTCCCATCGCTAACTTCTTGCGCCTCCCGAGCAAAATGCACCAACAGTCCACATTCAAAACCAACTTTGGGTGTCGCATGGACATGCGGGCGCACGACCTAGGTGCGGGCGCACGTGCCTCTTGGGTATGTGTGCCATTCATGCATGCACCAGTACGTGATTTTATGCTCTTGGACCCTCCTATTGCCTAAGTAAGTCCATTTTAACTCTCAATTGACGTTTTTACATGGAATTGATCAATGGTTTTGGAAATGTACATCAATTCAGACTTAGCCGAACTTTTCCCTTCTAAGTAGGACCAAAAGTTAGGTTTTGGACAAAAATGGGTTCAAGAGTAAAATGGTCACTTTTACAAAAACACGGTTTTTGGCTAAAACGAGATAATACAGCAGTTCGTAACAACTTCAAGCATCTCTAGGAATGAAGTTTTTACCATTTCATCATCGGGAAGCTTACAAGTGTCTGAAATCTTAGGGTCAATTAAAAATGGGATGTCTACACACGGTAGTGTACTTGGTACACAAACCACAACCTCCTCATATAGAGGTTCAAATACTAGAAAAACAACTAACACTTGAAGTTGTAATCCTCTGAGGTCATGGCGTATGGTGGATCGTAACTCTAATCTACTAACAATCAATTTAGGTCCTACATCACTTGTACAAAACCCAAGGGATATGTATAGACTCCATGAACTTTAGTAAGCATCTAAATATAATAAACTCTGGAAATTATAATTGCCTTAACCTTCCATGTGAAGGAAGTGGAATAGTAATTAAATAGGATTATTTACACGAAGACCCCTTAAACTATTGAGAATTGTCACTTTGACTCCCTAAATTACTAAAACGTACAAATAGACTCCCTAAACTATTGAAAAGTATCACTTTGCCCCCTAAACTATAAAAATATCCAAATGGGGAGACTATAAAAACGTACCAATTGGACCCCCCAATGAAAGGGGTCAAAGGGAAACACATCAATAGTTTAGGAGGTTCATTTGTTTTGGGGGCAAAACAATGTCCATTTGTATGCTTTTATAGTTCAAAGGGTCGAAGTGATACTTTTCAATAGTTTAAAAGGTCTCCATGTAAATAACCCAATTAGATATATGTGAATTTCAAAAATAAAAAGACATGTTTGGAAGGAATGTAGGCCACTTATTGAAGGACATAAAAATCTGAAATTTAGGAAATGGAGACAAAATGTGCATTACAATCGGCAATTTGTCACACAAAAGTCAAAGAGATAATTCTACTTAGTACCCCAAATGATTGACACACAAAGGCTAAAGAGATAAATACATTACAACACAAACCAAATATGAATTTTGCTTCTGAAGCATGTAAAAGGTAACTAAGCTACATCAACATAATTGCAACTCTATATACATGACAAGCGCACACAACTACCAGCCTAGTTATGTATTAGTTTCTAACAAATAACGCCTAAAGCAAAGTTAAATATTAAAAGGAATTAAAGAAACAAACATAAAACTGAGCAAAATATACTGACCTCCCTTTCGCTCTGTGAGAAAAACATAAAACCAGATAGGGCCCTCTTTGGTGCATTCGGATCCTTCTTCTTTTTCTGTTTCCTCTTCTTCGAACCATCTTCATCACCATCTTTAGACTTACCCCTACTGGAGGCTGCCTTCGATGTAGATGGTTCTTTCTTGGATTCCTTTTTGGCAGGTTTCTGAATTCACCATTCATTAGATGTAAGACTAGTTTTACAGTGGAACAAGAAGAATGATTGTAATGGTTTACCTCTTTCTCGCCTCCACTGTCACTAGCATCAGATTCCTCTTCACCAGAATCATCGGTAGGTGAGCCTCCATCATCCCTGTCAGCAACAAAATCTTCATCCTGCAAAAAACCACCATGTTTGACAATGAAGGAAGACACCAATAAAGAGAGACAGAAACACGGGTATGTCTCAAGCACAAGCATGAAAAGAAACATAATGAGGGAAAATTAGGGAAAACCAGCTAATATGATCATCACCAGAAAACAAAAAAACAAATACTAATAAGAGCAACAAAAACTTTACTATAACCCTTCTACAATTTGGTCTCCGTAATTCGAATTGCCACAAATTTATCCTTAATTTTCATATTGTGTCAAGTTGGTCCAATTGATAACGTTCATCAATATTTCGATAGAAGGTCATGTGCACCCCATGCAATCATCTTATAGGGGGAGAAAAAGAAAAACAATACGTCCTTTGTGAAAACCAAGCCCCCTCTCTTCACCCCAACACCCACAAACAACGCCTTTGATGCCAAACATGCCAGGTTGTACAGCACAAGAGCATAGCCATCTCCGCCATGCACATGCAGCTTCTTTACGTCTTCATCTTTGAGTGGACAAACTACCCCCAATCTCTCTCTCCCCGCTAGCAAGTGCCATGACAACGACGCCATCTTGAAGGTTGACTGCTCTGCCACCCTTTTCTCTACAATGTCACCATCAACACCAACTGGACTCTCATGATGCAGACCAAAGTCGGTGGTCCAACCCCACCCCACCCCCAAGTTCGAACCCATGCCTTCACCTCCTCTTCACCCCCACCAACCCCCTTACCCTGTCACAATCCAACCCGCTCTCCCCACCACCAACACCCTTCCCCACGGTGCCCCACCCATCACAGTCCCTCCCACCACTGTCCAACCCATCACTCACAGCCCCCTTTCATCTTTTACATATATGTATTGTTATATATATACACATGATCATGTATATACATATAGAGTTAAATAAAATTAGATCAACTTAACTAATACCAAAGTAAGGACAAAAATATCAATTAACTCTATAATAATGTCATGTGCCTCACACGACTTTTCGTCCAATTTCCAAATGGTCATTTTTAATTGAACCAAATTGACAAGATGCGAAAAATTAAAGGACAAATTTGTCAAAATTGGAACATGGGCCACATTGATACAAGGTGCCAACTACAAGACTACTATTATTTTCCCTAATAAGAAATAAAAATAAAAAATCCCGTTGATACATCAGAGTAAAAATTCAAACTTCCAGCTCTCTGATTTTTAGCAATTTGATAACAGACGTAAGCGTCTAATGAATGAAGCTAAATGAATTTGGATCTTACCTCCTCATCACTCTCATCTTCACCAGCTGCATTCTTAATCCGCTCAAGATGTGGGTCAACAGCATCATCATCATCACTTTGCAGAACAGCTGCAACACCATCTGCAGTTCGGATGTCTCCCAAGTTCATGATTTTCAAACCTTTCCCACTGCATCAACAAACGGTAGAGTTAGAATTTAAGTAACTTCCAACAATCCATACACAGTACATGAGAAGCTCATAGTAACCTGATGAAGTCAAAAAGATTGTGATATTCATTCCTCTGGATGTTCCGGAAAAGATGTTCTTGCTCAGTCTTCAATCTGATAAGAAGATCAAAGTAGTGCATATTTGAGCCTCCAGCAGCATGCCTTTCAAACTCCACATAGTCAATCTGAAATAAGATATGCAAGTGCAACATGTCAAATGAACCCTAAACCGGCCATGATTTAATATAATATGTCTATCACCTACAATACAAGTAAACCACATGTTTAAAGCATTTGTATGGCCAAAAAGTTACCTCTTCATGAAGAATAAGAGTTGGAGGCTTAGGTAAAAAGAAAAAACCCTTTTCAAGTGGATACAAGACACCATCTTCAGCTTTCAATGAAGACTTAACAGCATAACCATCCTGACAGCTACGGAACTTTCCTGGTCTAGTGACTTTTGCACCGGACAAGCCACGCATTATCAATATGAATACTTCATGAATCAGGCCCTGATATATCAGAGATAGAAAAATTAAACCAAAGCACACAGATTTAGTTTTAAAATTTTAAATAATAAAAAACAAAAAAAACTAACAAATATATTATCATCACAATAAATAAAAAATTGTATATTCTATTTAAAAAAAACTAGAATGACAACAGGTTCTATTTTTGAACATGTATGAATTGGTGCCTTAGGAATGACATCAAATGATGAAACAGCATCTCTACTATACCTTATACGATGATTCTAACTTGTCCTTGTATTTGGTATTAAAAAGATCATCATTCATTGATAGGGTGCTTTCAACCACATAGTCTGTTTCAAACTGTGTAAAGATGGCAGGGATACAATACAAATCATCACGTGGACACATGATTCTCTAAGAAAGATAAAATGGTGATCTTAATGAAACTTAACCAACAATACCTGCAAAACAATATGTGGGTACAAAGTTTGACCTTTACGGATAGGTGGATCGAGAGTAACAACAACAAAGGTATGCGGTTGGTTAGACTGCACAAACACATGACAATATGTGAGTTAAGTTAAACATTGTTGCATCTTCCAAAAAATACAAGTGGCCAATCAATTTCAATAATACAACTGATCAACACATTTGACTATATGCATATTAATAATTCTTCCATTAAGCAAATAAAACGAACTAATGTACAACCAAAAAAAAGCCTTCTGAACTTGAGGGAAAAAAAGAAGAGAGAACCTTGGGCAATAGAAAAAGGCGAACAACACTGCTGTACTGAATTTTAAAATCATTAGCTTGCCCCTGAAGCCGCAAAAATGAAAGATGAAGTTCAACATTGTATCGGCCCCTACAAAGAAAATACTTCAGTCAAAATTTTCTAAGCAGCATAAAAGACCATGGAACTACAAAAGATACCACACAAAAGTACAGTACTCACCTTGGAGTAAGAATCGCAATTCCTTCAAATGTAACAACAGATTCTTCACCGCCTGCACCAACATCCGCCATTGACATGATTTTGTCACGGAAGACCTAATGTAAAGGAATATTAGAAGTACGCAATTGTTAGTTTTCTACCCATGCAATTCAACCAAAACCCGGGGGGAAAAAAAAAACCTTACCTGAGCAGGAGGACGATTTTCATCACCAACAAACTGAGTGTTGGAATTAGGTATGTGAAAACTTATCTCCATCAATGAATCTTTCTGCAATTATAACACCAAAGGATCAGAATAATGAAATTGCTCCAATAAATTCAATCTAAAAAGCATAAGATGTAGAGAGACGGCATAAGTCATTCAGGAAATTTAATTAGAAACTGAAATCAACCTCATTAGCACCAGTTGTGTCATCCACATGGAACTCTAAAATGACATCATTTTTTCCTTGCAGTTGTGTTTGGGAGACATCAGCTAAAGACACCTCAAATGCTTGCCTTGAACCAACTAGAAAAGTCAGCATATTCCCTACAAATAAAAAATGAAAATAAAAAAAAAGCTAGGGAGTTGTTCAAAACATCAAGATGGCAGCAAAGTAGTCAAAAAGCCTCAACGCAGGCAAACTCCTAATAATGACTTGAATGAGAAAAAGCTTATATAAAATAATTCATCAAGCTGAGACCAAGGGTGGAAAAGAGAGGAAAACCAAAGCAAACTAGTCTCCATTCTGCTTTATTGAGGGCTATTATACGGATACTCAACTAAATTAAGTAAATTTGTATAATTTTTACTACCGCATCCCATGTCAGGTTAGGTATTTCTGTCCCCCTAACATTTCTTTTAGGCTATGTTTATCATAAGGGCAAATGGGAATCTCATTAATGATATTACTAGTAATAAAATTAATGCGTCCATGCTATTTAAAAGTTTGGTTTAAGAATCCTCAATGGGAAAATAATAATTAAAAATATTGTGGGCCCAGTTATTATTATTATTTTTTACTCTTAAATAGTTAAAATCCCTCTAGGAATGTGATTCTTGTTGAAATAGATAATAAGGAATCACTTTCCCATGCCAATCCATTCCAAACACTGGAATCATGGGACCCAAAATCACATTCCCATTCCCCCTCAAGAATACTATCACTCAAACATAGCCTTACGGTGATCATGCGACTGCACAAGTCTGCAGATAAACCATAAAGCACATGCTAAAAGTATAAAAGAAACCATATTCACATCACTACGTACGTATGCAGCCATGGAGCAGTTTACTGACTAAGAAATAGAAAGCCATATTTATCTTTTTTAATATACAAAAAACAAAAGCAAACATAAGATGATAATTGTATTTTAACAATGAAAGAGACTATAATTTGCAAACGTGATGAGGGAAGTTACTAAGGTTTTGTTTGGAGGATGGAACCAGCTAGCGAAAATGAAAAAGGTATAGAAAAAAGGAAATAACCACTTCTGAAAATAGATATATATTTGTTTTCAGGTCTTCACAAGTTTTGTCATATGACTTTGTAAAGAAATAAACCTTTCTTTTCTTTCCTTCACATTTTCTTTTCCTCGCAATTTTCCAATACACCAAACAACTTAAAATGAAATGCCTCACAATTTCTTCCTTCTTAGTTTAAGAGTTCCAAACAAAACCTAAACAAATTTACTTTCAATAAATTGTCTCCAAGGCCAAAAATAATAAAACAGAAATGACCCAACAACACTACATTCCAACATAATCCACTCACCATTCAAATCAACTTCACCCCAGTTTTTTCCACTAACAGAAAGCTGCTTCTCTTCAGGTGTTATTCCACAAGTGCTTTGTAAAAAACTGGTAAGAGTAGCCACATCCTGCAAGGTAGGTATGGATGTACAACATAAGACTTATAATCAAGTTTAAGAAAGGGAAAATGTAAATAGCCACATCCTGCAAGGCAGGTATGGATGCACAGTATAAGTATAATTATAAAGTTTAATAAAGGGAAAATGTAAAACTATTACGAGAACCAATGATGTGAAGGTTACAATTTTCCAAAATTTTACATAGGATATATGACAATAGAACTCCTTTGACTGAAATTAAAAAAAATGTAAACCATGAAACAAACAAACTTCTAGGTTAAAGGGAGTATATTACTGGAATCACAATAAGAGGCAGTTTACGAATTGCAATGGAGATACGATAATACAAGCCATGATAGCCATGCTTTAACTTTCAATATTCCCTTCTCAATTCTACTAAAACTAATATAACCACCCATCAAATATAGAAAAGAATTTATACAGATGTGTAATGAAGCAATGAAAAGGGAAAATCCTATCAAAATGGTTATGATATGGAAGTAAAGGAAAGGACCCAGACAACAGAACCCTGTTTAAACAGAGGTAGTCATGCATTCCACATAAAAAGAAAATCCAGCTAAGTGCACTGCATAAAAATCACATTTTTTGACAATAAAAAATGCAAGTGTAGAATAATCAGATGAAACGAGAAATTAAGAACAAGACCAAACAACAACAGCTTTAAAAGAGCAATTGAAATATACTTTAAGGTTCAGTTTTGTAAAATTCAATCACCAAGAAGTTTACAACAATAGCATTACATATATTGTTCATAAACTAATAGGGATGCCATATAAGCGAGGAGTTCAATAATAGTACTAGTTCTAAACCCAAAGTAAGCTAGTCTACAAAATGAGAAAATGATGTAGCAAAAATTCACCTACTTCTCCCCCCACCCCACCCCCCACCAAAAAAAAAAAAAAAAGGAAAAAATAATAATTAAAAACACAGTCATCATCATGTATGAGAAGCTTGACAATCATAGCAACTCCACAGAATCTAAATCCAGGGACATAACCAAACAAGAACAAATTTATATGTTACATACATATATACAATAAGCATAAGACAACTTCCATAATTGGCTTGTCCTTTTGGATAATGATGAACGTTGAAAATATTACGTTATCCAACCAGGAGTACTCAAGTTTGTCACAAATAAAATTAAAATATCTAATGTGCATCCGAAAAATAGTAATATTCCTTCTGCATGACACTTGAATTTTCACAAAATATGAAAATCAACGGTCTTAATTAAGGAACTACGATATACATCAAATACAGAAAAGAAAACAATCTAAGGGGGGGAGAGAGAGAGAGAGAGAGAGAGAGAGAGAGAACTTACCTGGTCACGGAAACCAGTGAATTTGTAGTACGGACCATCCTTACTTCTAACACCAAGTTGATTAGACCGGGGTACCTTCATCCAGGAAAGTCCCACAATATCATCCTTATCAACTTCCACAGCTTTCCCACCCCCTGATTTTTTCCACAATATACCCCCCGAGTGAATCCTAATTTGCCCTTGATTCTGCATTTCCCAACATATGCAAGTTAAGGACGCAATTTCCACAGCCTTGAAAATCCAGTCAAATTTACATGTTTATGCATGCGTTAGAAAACCATTTTTTTCTCTCTCTAGATTCTCAATGATGAGCAGAGAATTGGGGAAACTCCAATCTGAAATCCTAAATTTCTGTTTTTACATGAGATTGGTTAAAATCATGGATATATAAAATTAAGGAAGCTACAATAGTCTGGAATTTGAAGTATTTGAAATCTGGGTGCAGCTCAAAATCCTCACATCTCCCAAGGTTGCATGATTGTAATAACGTGATATATTGCAAGAAGCTTGAGTACTGAAACAACAACAACAAAGAACATATATACATATATTCGAAGGTGTGCACACCCATGGGTGAGCTTGAAATTGACAGTTATAGAAGAGCCCATGGTGTGCTTAAAATCGAGTAACTTACAAATGAGAAAAGCTGAGATAAAATAAAAGTGTTCATACCAAGTGACCTGCTTATATAATAGTATAGATTGCGTTTGCAATTTTACATCTAATTTTTTGGTAATTTGATGAATGGAGAAGATGGTTTGAATTTAATAACTCCTAGCCGTTTCTTTTAGAAGCAACTAATACTACGGAAATTTTGTGGGGGGAAATAAGAAACATAACAAAGTTTCAAAACCTTCTGAGTTGTGTGCTTTATATACACTACTAGCAATGGGAGCAAACACAATATCTTTGCAATTTTACATTTAAATTTCTTGGCAGCTTGATAAATGAAGAAAACTGTTAAAACACTTGATGGATGTGGCATGCAGATGGGGAGAGCAGTTTTGGAAAAATAAAAAAATATGACTACGCTTTATAATAATAGAATAGATTATATAAAGCACACATCTCTAAGATGGGTTGAAGGTTTGTCCTTTGAATATATATATATTTTTCTTTCCCAATAATGCCCATAAAATCATTACTAAGAGCATCTCCAACCCATCACAAATTTTTTCATCTAGTTTGATTCCAAATTTGAGTAAAAAGCTTGATTTGATATGAAATGCATCAATCCTTTCATCAAAATCATTTTAAAAAGTTCTCTTTCCATCAAATTTGATGAAAGAAAAAATCAATGTCAAATTCAAATTTGATAAAAGATTTGATGAGTTCCCACTTTGAATAAAAAAATTAAAAACAAAAAAAAGACTCCCTTGATTTGGTTAAAGAATTAGAAATGATTTTTTAGCACATTTTCATTTGATGAAAGAAAATGTAGAGAATTGGAGATGCTCTACCACGCGGCCACTTATAGTAACTGCTAAACAATAAACAGTTTTTAAATTTAATCTATCTTTCTCATTTCAAATTGCATACAAGTTTAGATGTAAAAATGCTTAATATAATCGTATAGATAGTGTAGATAAATAGCATGTAAACCCTCCCATAGTTCGTTGAAGAGAGAGAAAATCAAAATGAGTAAAAAAATACATTCCACTAAATTCAAAGAATGGATCATGATCAAAACCCTTGAAAAGCAGAAAACCAAACAGGGATTTTTGGATACACAAAAAAGAAAAAAAAAAAAGGAAATTAGAGTTGCAGGTCACATCTCATATAAGGGTCTGAAAGAAATTTGGGTTAGGGTTAGGATTTCGAAAACCTAGAAGAAGAACTCGAAAGTGTGAAAAATTGATATATCGAAAAAAAAAAAAAGAAAAAAAAAAAAAAAAAAAAAAGAAAAAAACTGAACTTTGAATTCGTTGGAAAAGCTAGAGAGAGGGGAAGGAGGGAAGGAGAGAGAAAACTCACAGTGCCACCGCGGCCACCTAGAGAGATGTTGTTGAATAGGTGACCATCGGCCATGGTTCCGAGCTCAGAGAGAGAGAGAGAGAGAGAGAGCGCACACAAACACTACAGATTTTCTGCAGATATATAGGGGCTGTTTGGGGTGCGCAAAGCACCTCTTTTCTTCTTCTTTTTGGTCTTCTATTTCATTTCATTTTATTTTTCAGAAAATTTTGTTTACACACTGATCTTCAGTTTACGCCAACATTAAGGCCAAGTTTGGCGTCCCCTATGGTGGTGTTTGGCAAGTGGGTTGGGGTTAAAATAGCCACAAAAGACAAAACAGGCTATTTTAGTCACAACAAACAAAACATCACATTCAATCCATAATTATTACACTCTTCTCTCACAAAAAAAAAATCAAAAAGCCAAAAAGCCAAAAAGCCCTTCCCAAACCAAACTTTTTAGCCCATGCTAAAATAGCCAAAAAAGCCAAAAAGCCAAAAAGCCAACCCACTTCCCAAACGGAGGCTATATAATCTATCGATTTATCTTTTTATTTTTTTTTCATCATATCATTTTTTTATTTTTTTACACATCTTTTTATAAAAAGATAAAAAGTACACTTATTAAGATCATCCCAAATAACCCCTAAATATTGGGTAAATTACAAATATATTTTTGAGATCTATTTAAAATACGAATTATTTTTTGTGATTTAGAAAATTATAAATATTTTTTTGTCAAATTTTTTTATTTAACAAAGTTAATTGAAAATGTGAAATTTCTAATTATTCACTTATATAATAATAAAATTATCTGAATTATTAATTGAAATAAAATTTTAACATTATTAAATACCGTTAATTAACTTAATGATTTGTTAATAAAATGACCTATTTGCTATGAAATTAGAAACCTTATGAGGCATAATGTCATTTTTAGAACTATAAGGGGTAATTTATAATTTATGTAAATCTCAAGAAATGTGTTTGTAATTTACTCTTAAATTTATATTTCAATAATATCCTTAAACAAAAAGACTATTAAAGATAATATGGGGTGTATAAAAATACAAAACACTTTTTACATACCATCATCACCAATCGACATATAGTGGCTGTTTAGGAAGTTACTATTTTAGTAGGTTATTTTAATTTTAGGTTAAAATTTTTGTGTTTGGGTAGATAATTGAATTTTTTTGTAATTTGATGTGATATTTATGAGAGAAAAAAGTGAAATGATTATGGGTATGATGTGATACTTCGGGGTTGTTTGGGATAAACTAAATAAGTGTAATTTTTGAATTTTCAGACTAAAAAGTAGAGGAAAAAAATGATTGTTTGGGATAATTTTTTGACTTTTTACAAAAAATTGGGTATTAAAATATTATATAAAATAGCAAAATTACCATATTATCTCTAAATATATAAATGCCTACTAACAGTGATGGTACCGTCATGCATATGGTAGGCAGCAAGATGTATAGAACCAGATTGCCTATGGTGTTGTTAGGATTAGACGGTGATGTTCGGCCTGTGGGGGCCCACCACAGGTCCCGTTTTGATAATCGTTACTTTGTGCACCGTCCATTCTTTTATACAAAATTGATTTGATCATATAGTTATTGATATCCGATCAATATGATTTTTTACAAGTATATAGTACTCGACGAGTTCTACACATTAACGGTTCAGATTATCAAAATGGGACCTGTAATGGGCCCCCACGAGCCAAACAACATTGTCCTGTGTATTATGAGAATGCATTCAGTTGTCTAATATGTACCAGCAGCACTGCAGACAACACATCACTTCAATACACTTTTTGACTTGTTCTTTTTTTTTGTATATTTATTTTTTTATATTTTTTTTGTGAATAGTGATAATTTTTTGACTTTTTTAGTAACTTTTTGATTTTTTATCTTTTTTTATGGATGCCAAACTAGCCTTTTGTCTTATTAGCTATTTTAGTCTATTTTGCCTTTTTGTACATTCTAACCCAAAAAGTCAAAACATAGCCTTTGCCAAACACTCCCATAAACATTTGAAATAAATCAATTTTGAAAATTTAGGATTTAAGAATATTAAAATCAATTGATTTTCAAAATTTACACACCATGGATGACACAGATGGTTGATTTTGAATAATGCAACAATGAAAAGGTTAATTTAATACTTGGCTTTTTTATTTTTATTTTTTATTTATCCTGTTCGTATAATCATTGGTAAGATGACTTTTTGTTCGTCACATGTTCGAATAATCAAGTTGAACTTTTACACAATGTTTGATTATTTTTATTCAAACAAAACAATTTTGCTCAAATTATTATGGTTGACCAAATTATAAATGTTCATACCTAAAAATTTGAACATTTTAATTCCTTAAGAATTTCATTTCTGAAATTTAATTCAATTCAATAGTTTAATTTGTTTTTGGTATATTTTTTGTTTTTTTTTAAATAAAAAATAGATGCATTCAACATTTACAAAACAAAAACAAACAAATAACATATAAAATTTAATATATGTTCAACATAATTCTGAACGAGTTAAAGTTGTTTAGCATATAAAGTATGAACATATTTATTTTGTTCAATATAAATATTTTGAACATATTCAATTTGTTCAATTTTATTTTTTTGTACGGTGATGTTATGTTCAGACAATTAGAATTTAGCCAAACTCAAAATATAAATTTCGATGGAAGTTGAATCGGTAATCAAATCAAAAGAAGATAGGAAAAATATATCAATGTGAGAGCCAAAGATGTGAACCAAATGTGAGAATGACAATTTTTCAACATCGACAATGCACCGACGAAACAACAGCAAGATGATGGCAAAGATGGAAATCCAAAACGATGATAATGCACGGGCAAGCCAAATGCAAAACGACGGCGAAGATAGAGATCTAAAATGATGAGAATGCACCGGCCGAACGAAACCCTTCGTCGACGATGGACATCTATGATGTTTTAAAGATGGAGATCTATAGTGCTCTGAAAATGAAGATATTTGGGTGTGGGTTGTGGTTTGTATTCAAACAGACAGGTAGTATGTTACCTTAGTGCTGGCAATGAAAAATTAAGGTGTGGACTAAGATATTTCAAACCCTAAAAATTATTATATATGTACTAAGTAATAGTGTATACTGAATGAGTTAGTATTGTATAAATAAAATTACCCTTTTTTTAAAAGTCTTTTTTTCAAAATTATATTAAAATATTTTACATTTATGGTCGATCTTATGTAAACGAATCTAAGAGTAAATATATATATATATTCTAAAATTCTAAAAAAAAAAAAATCCCAAAATAAGCAAAATGATTCACTATTTTTTTAATTTTTTTTTTGTATTTTTTTAGACTTTTTTATTTGTTTTTTTAAATTTTCATGTTTGTCTTATCGAATTTAATTAAAAAAACCTAACCCTTTTTGAAAAATATTTATAAAAGCAATCACTAAAAACAAAATATAAGTAAAAAAAAAAGTCACCAAATAAACCCTAAACATCCATAAAAAGGTGATTGTATTGGGAGATTGGTGGGTAAGATAGGATTTGATATTCATTCCATGTAATAGTTTAATATTTGATTCAAAAAAAGTAAGCCAAGACTAACAGTTAAACCGAACTATCAATCTTTTATTTGTGGAATTATTGTGTCCCATTGGATGGGATACAATGGTGGGGTCATTCTATTTACACACGATTACTTGTCTTAGTACGCATCATTTATTCAATTCATATCCTACCCAAATTAAAACTTTTAATTTTGTCTCAATACATATTAATAATTTTCATATAATACTAAACTACCCTCATCTTCTCCAACAAACCCTAACCTTAACCATCGCCGTCAACCACCGCCTCTCACCGGCACAATTCCCTTCTCAGTCTCTCTCAACCTTCCATGGCGCCCTTCCCCAGCCTCTCTCCCCCTCCCGCCACTGCTTCCTCCTCTCTAACCTCCTTTCCTTTTATCACAACCTCCTTTTGTCAGTCTCTCATCGTTGTCTCTTTCTACTGTCGCCGTTGCAGCTGTAGCTCCCTTCTACTTGCGATTTCTCTATCTCTCTCAATCACAATGACCATCAGCCTTCGCCACCATCATTGCCGGCAATCCCTCCAGTCTTTTATTCCTGACAACAACGCCGCAGCTAGGGTTGTGCACAATATCGCCAAAACCACACCGAATCGTGCATTTCTTCAACTCTAGTGGGTGGGTTGGACGAGTAAGAGTTCCAGGAGTGGCAGGTCGGCGCGAGTGACGGTTTGCAAATGCCAACCCGCCTAATAAACCGACCCAACCCCGCCTAATTGTTCAGATTTTCCAAATGTATATATACTTACACACACACAATAATTTCTCAATTAAACCTAATTGAACCCAAATATCTCATCTCATTCATCATCGCCATTCGCCACTGCTCTCTATTCTTGTTTCTCTTCCTTACCTTGCCGATCGGCGTTGCCATAGCCTCCTTGCTGTCACTGCCGTTCAAGATCGTGAATCGAGAAAGTTTCTACGATAGTAGTGCGTCGGAGCCTATCTAAGCCGTCATCATAAGGTTCTAGTCTTACTAGTACTATTTAGGGTTTCTGTAATTTGGCTTTTGGAATCAATCTGCTATGCAATTGGCTCAAATTGTTTGATTTCATGTTTAACACCTATTTATTCAAGGTTTTTTCTATAGACAGCTTTTGGATTTTAACATTTTATTATATTTTTGTCTCTCTGCTCTCTCTCTCTCTGCTCACTCTCTCTCTATATATATAACTACTCACTATATCATACAAATTCATTTTCATTCTTATAATTAAATCAATTGAATGAAAAACCATTGCCTTGTTAATTGTTAGAGTCTAACAATAACTAAGAATGAATGAATCAAATTATTTGTCAAACCATAGCCTTGTTAATTATTCATTCTCTCTCTTTTTTTCTCTCTCTCTCTCTCTCTCTATATATATATATATATAAGTGCTCACTGTATCATACAAATTCATTTTCATTCCTATAATTAAATCAATTATTTGTTCATTTTCATCCATTATCCATTATACCAATTTATGTTACTCTCATATTAGTTATTGTTAGACAAATAATTAAATCAATTGCTTAAAGAGCAAAAACACAATCCACTCCAAGTCCATAATATTTTAAAAACACAATCCATAATATTGCTAAAA